GGTTCTCCCCGCTTAGGATAGCTATATTAGTTACTTTCATGTTGCTGTGATAAAACACCATGACCAGAAGCAACTTATGGGGAAAACAGAGTTTATTGTGGACTTAAGGTTCCAAACGGGTAAGAGTCCATCACAGCAGGGAGCCATGGCAGCAAGCAGATACTGCAACAGGAGCAGGAAACTGAGATCCACATATTCAACCTCAGACACACGGGAAGCGGAAATGGGTGAGACTACAAAATCTCAAAGCTGCCTCAAGTGATGTACTTCCTCTATCAAGGTTACAACTACCTAAACTTCCTGGAACAGTGCCACCAACTGGGGCCAAGTGTTCAAATCCGTGAGCTTATGGGGGATATTTTCATTCAAACCACCATCATAGCCTTCTAAACAGCCAATGGGGTAAAGAAATCGCAATGCCAATAGAAACTTCAGAAAGCCAGGTGCCTCTGCTGGCTGGGCAAGGTTGGAGGCCAAGCAGCTCCTCTGTAGAAGGGCAGGTGAAGGGCATCAATACCAAGTAAACACAGACAAGGAATCCTGGGCACTAGAAGGTGGAACCATGCCCAGAAACCCAGAGCCTCTGTTGATTAACTCCATGGTAACCAAAGGAGCCCTCTTGCAGGCACCCAGAATGTAAACAGCCATCCAAGTGTACATGCAGTTTGCCTGATAACTTCCACGATGTCTTTGTATTGAAGTCCTTACCTATTTAGAGGGAGGCAGCTTATCTTCAGAATTCGGACAGTCCAGAAGCCTTCTCTCCAGTCCCTTTTCCCCCCAGTACAATATGATTAAAAACGTTGGGCTGCTTTAACAAAATGTGTGCACTGGGTGGCTCAAATGACAATCATTTCAAACAGTTCTGGAGACTGGAAAAGTAAGACCAAGACACTGGCAGATTGCATGTTTGGCAAGAAACTACTTCCTGGCTTGCATGTATCACTGTCCCTGCTGTGTTCTGCACAGGGAAGATCTAGGTGCCTCCACACCCTTTTATAATGGCACTATACCATTCATGAAGGTGTCACCCTCCTGACCTCATCAGCTTCCCCTATACCATCCCTTCAGGTGTAGGGTTTCAACATAAGAATGGGGGGTGGCGTCACAGACATTCAGTTCCTAGTAAAAGTTGTTTATACCTATGTTTGATACCATAGTTAAAAACAAATTGGTAGGGGGACCAGGGTTTCACTCACTAATGGAGGCTAACAAACCTGGGGCCTTGGGTTCCATCCTCAGCACCAAAAAAGAAAAGGAGGCAGGAAGAAAAGAAAAGAAAAGAAATAAAACATAAACAGACTCAGAAATATTATATTTAATTGGTTTAATCCTGTTACCCAACAAAATTTTTAAACAAGATGATAGAGGGACATATATATATATATGTATCAGATTAGAGGTCACTGAGCTCACTGGCACATTTCCTCCAAAAAAGAAAAAAAAAGGAAATCATCACCTTGAGGGAGGGATCCTCTTGGCCTACATCTCTAAGGTGGCCTTTTAGTCTAGATCTAGACTGCATCCCATTGGTCCAGAGATAGAAGACAGCTCCTCAATTTAGACCTAGAAAAACACTCCCTTGTTCTGGACCTAAAAAATGTCCCCCTTGGACTAGATCTAGGCTACTTTTCTACCCAAATTAACTCATTCAGGGAGAACCTCAAAGTTCATAAAAAGATACCTCTAAAAATCAAGCTGTAACTAGGGAGAACTGGCCCTGCCCACCACTGACTGCACCACTCTGGAGAGTGGGCCCTGCACCTCCCCAGGGCAGCACAGTGGAGCTGTCCCTGTTGGTGGGGGGGGGGGGTGCGGGTGATCCGACCCTGAATATGCAAGAGTGGGAGAGAGAGCCCCACAGACTGTTACACGGTGGCATGGGAGAGGAAGAGATATCCCCCTTGCTCCTTGCCCCTCATCACCTGCTGTGGGTGGGAAAAGCTGGTCCAGGGTCACAAGAGTGGAGGAGCCGATCGTGCCCCTCACCAGCTGCAGCACTTGGGAGAGTGGGCCCTACACCTAGCGCAGGCAGCACAATAGAGCTCACCCTGCTGACGGAGGCAAGGGCGATCATGCACATGGGTGATCTGGCCTCACCCTTCTTCTACCATAAGGTGGAGTGGGCGAGAGAGGGATGGCTTCCCCCACCTCCCGGCCCTCCCCCCCCCCCGCGCCCCCCCGCCCCTTGCTGACCCACTGGCAGCTGCACTAAGGAGAACAGGCCCTGCACCTTGCCTGGGCAGCGCAACAGAGCTGACCCCATTGGCGGGGACGCAGGTGAGCAGGCATGGGGGAGGGGACATGAGAACTGGAGGACTGACCCTGTCTGCCCCTTGTCTGCCATGTGGTGGCATGGGTGAGGAAAAAAATGACCTCCCTCCCCTAGGCCCTTGCCACCTGCAGCAGGTGAAAGAGCTGGCCCCCGGGGGCCATGAGAATGGGAGAACTGGCCCTGCCCACCCCAGCCAGCTATAGCACATGGGAAAGCAGGCACGGCACCTCCCTGACCCTGTTGGCAGGGGTGCAGGGGAACCGGGCCTGTGGCTGTGAGAGCAGGAGAGCTGCCCCCGCCCTCTCTCTGGTATGCCATGAGATGTCAAGAGTAAGGAGCCATGCCTTCCCTCCCAACCCTAGCCACCTCGAGACAGGAGGGAGAGCCCACCTTGGGGGCTTGAGAACTGAGAACGGAAAAGCTGGCTCCGCCCCTCACCAAGTGCCCCAATCCAGAGAGCAGGCCCTGCACCTCGCTTGGGCAAAACTGTAGGGCTGGGCCCAGTGCTGTGAGTGCGGGTGAGAGCTGGACTGTCCCTGGTCCTTGCTATCTGCCACATTGGGTGAGCTAGCCGGGGCAGTGCTGGAGAGCTCGCCTGGGTGGTGGTGATGAGGGAAAGCTGGCAGGCTGACCAACCCAGCTACCACCCAGGCCCAGAACCAGGACTACAAGGTAGCCCACTCTCTGTGTGTTGTGACCAATCAGACCTTTAAGGGAGAAATTGCGGGAACCACGAATCTCTTTTTCACCGTGAGTTCAGCTGCTGTGGGTATGCCAGGGATGGATGCTCCCCAGCATTTCCCGTGATTTCCTTTCATGTAAGTCTGGCAGCCAAGGCATAAGCGATAGCCATCTCACTGCCAGATATTTTTGCCATTTATTTGTCCTTTGGGGTACGTGTGTCTCTGTCTTTGTGTGTGCACCACAGTGCGCACGTGGAGGTCAGAGGACAACTTGCAGGAGTCAGTTCTCTCCTCCCACCATGTGGGCCCTGGGGATTGAACTCAGGTCATCAGGCTTGAGCGCAAGCGCCTTTACCTGCTAAACTATCTCTCCAGCCTCATTTATTAAATAAAGCCGCACTTTATTAAAGACTGAACAGGGCTGTCAGTCACGCTTAAAAGCTGTGGTTCCTGAGTCTGGTGGCTTTCGTTTTAGCCACTTTAAGTGGAACGTCCTCAGAAGGCACAGCTGCTTCCTGAGTCTAGCTTTAATTTGCCTTTGTGAATACGAATATTACACACGTGATCTTAGGCACTTCTGAGAGACGCTGTTCAGACTGACCAACCTCAAGGTACTGGGCTACTCTCTGTAACCCATCTCTACAAGCTGTCTGCTCTTCTCTCTGCACCGCAGTACCAAGAGCTTGGCTCCTTGTCAGAAATCTCAAGGAGAAAAAAAACCAAACACAAGATGGGAAGTCCTAAGGGAAACAGGCAGGTAGCTTTCTAAGGCCTCCACTAATCCCTGGGTCTTCGTTCTTCTGACAGGCCACATCTTTTCTTGTCTAGCAAGTGGTAGATAATTGTCAACTTCCATGGTGTCTTTGTGTGTTTCTCAGTGGCCCTGGCAATGTCACATGGCCATTCTTGAGCATGTCACTTAGGCTGGGTCCTGTGATACTGGGAAATGAGCATTATAACCTCATTCCTACAGCCAGAGTTGGCCACTTAACAAAGTCAGGGGGTGGTTTTCCGGCAGAAATGATGGCTTTTCCGGAAGCAGTGTGACGGTAGCTTGCCTTGCTAAAATGCTTGCCTTGCAAGCATAAGGACGTGAGTTCTAGCCACAGAAGTCATGGTACATAGGCAGGCATGGATAGCCACAGAAGCCATGGTACATAGGCAGGCATGGATAGCCACAGAAGCCGTGGTACATAGGCAGGCATGGATACAACAGGCAGGTGTTCACTTGTAACCCCAGCACTGGGGAGGTGGAAACAGGTCTCTAGGGTTCACTGGCCAGACAGACTAGCCACTTGGTGAGTTCTGGGCCCAGTGAAAGACCTTGTATCAAAAACAAAAGGTAGATGGTATTGCAAGTGTGGGAGACCAGCTCCCACTTTTTCTCCCAGGGTACTCTTGAGGAGGGAGAAGTGAGAAACATTTAGATAGAAATATAGAGGGAGAGAGACAGATAGAAGCATAGAATAGCCTCGAGAGGGCCTGGATCAAAACCCATCGGGCCCTTCTTTGACAAAGGGCCTTTAAAGGAATGCCAAGGGGTAGAGCAAAAGACCTCCCTCCAGCACAGCCAAGTGCAGAACATTCCAAACACCTGGTGAGCACGCACGTGGTCAAGCCATCCCCTAATGCAGTCCTGCTGTGTAAAGCAAGCTCCGCTCCCTTCTGTGGACCCCAACATCCAAGATTGTTTTCTGACCTCTACATACACACACACACACACACACACACACACACACACACACACACACACACACACACACACACGCGCGTATGCACATCCGCACACACAAGAGCACCTGCACACACATGAACAAATACACACCCACATGAATACACTTAGCAACCGACACTTTTTGTGTGTGCTGTCTTTTGAGTAAATAGACCCCTTCTAGTTTTTCCCTTAGGATTATGTTCAGGGAGGGGAAAAGAGGCATGGAGGTCTGAGGTGAGTGCTTACCTAGCATTCGCTAGGTTCAATCTCTAACATCAGGAAGAAACAAGACAGAACAGCATCAACCAAAAAAATCACCATAAAAAAAGAGAGTGAACAAAATAAAGCTTTATTTGAATATTTATACAGATCATTCTGAGAGCTTGTATCAGCAACCTGGAAACCTAAGCCATTTAAAAGGGCATAGTAACTACAGTCAACCAAGTCCATCACATGACTCTTCATTGCTGATTGTAACAAAGGACTATTATTCAATATTTGTGCGTACTACAACCTCTCCACCTCCTGGAAGTGACAGCGTATTTACCCTACTTCCCAAGAAGTCAGCACAGGTTAAACTCACAGTAGGTGTGTAGTAACTAAGATACCCCTGAAACACCCATATAGCTAAATTCTGTGGACTAGACAGAATAGTCCCTCCTCCCCCTCCCCTGGGGCCCTGCTCACAGAGCTGCCACACCCTCAGGCCTCCCATACTTAGCCACACCTAGCTACAAAATAAGCTTTTCATGACTTCACAATTTGCATCACCCACCAATGTCTAGAGGACTTAAGGCACATTGAGAGAGAGCTTGCTTGGGAGCACCAAGTGTCATAATTGGACCACAGTGGTTCTTGCTTCTCCAACCACAAAAGAAAGGGCAGGCAGAGTCTTCAGGAGCCCAGAACCTTAATAAGACACCTGAGTTTTCACTGACTCCCACAAACAACCTCACATATTTGAAGCAATGGCAACCTCCTACTAAGAGGCACCTTGGGGAAAGAAGTTCTTTCCAGATCACAGCTTAGAGAAACAAACCCAAATGCTTTTACAAGTAAAGGGGAGGACATTCACCCTGTCTCTTGGGAGTTAGAGGTGCTGGTGTGTAGCTCAGAGGTAGAGCGCTTGCCTAGTCTGGAGAAGGCCCTGAGTGCAATCCCTAACATGCAAAACATAAGAATTGTTGAGTTTGTTCTATAACATAAACCAAATGAACCAAATATGAAACAGACACAGCAAGTGGACGTGGCAACTCGGATTAGCAGGATCAGGAGAGTTCTGTGTAAGACAGAGGCACAAACATCTCTGATTTGGACTTCAAGCAGGCCAAATGCTAGTAAAAAGTACACTCTGTTATCTTCATGCTTCCCTGGGGAAACAAGAAGGGAGATTTTCCCCAATTCCTCTGTGTGTGTGTGTGTGTGTGTGTGTGTGTGTGTGTGTGTGTGTGTGTGTGTGTGTGGTGTGTGTGTGTGTGTGTGGTGTGTGTGTGTGTGTGTGTGTGTGAGAGAGAGAGAGAGAGAGAGAGAGAGAGAGAGAGAGAGTAAATGTTAATGTTCACATTACAGTTCAGTGTTCTGTTGTTCTCCCCAAATAGAAAAGTACAAAAAATAAAACATCTGTGTTTTATATCTAGACACATCTGGAGAAAGCATGATGGCTTTGGAGAAGCCAAATGGTGAACAGTCCTCTGGCCACCCCATGCTGGCTCACTGCCGATTATGACTTCATTCTGGAAACCAGATGTAGGACAAAGGCCTCCCCCTCCAGAGGCGGCCCTCTGGGCCGCAGAAGGAAAAAAGGGGCTTTGGCCCCACGTAGGACAGTAGAGGGGTCATGTGCTTAGATGGAACAAGCCACCTTCAAGGCTCCTTTCCCTGAGGACTGCCAGGGGTCCTTGTCTGAGCATAGACACAGGCACACCTCACTTGGTGGCAGCCCGCTGGTCTTGATACTTCTGGAAGGCACTCAAGATTTCCGTGATGACACTGGGGTCCTCCAGGGTAGTGGTGTCCCCTAGATCCTGCCCCTTGCTGGTGATGATCTTCCTTAGCAGCCTCCTCATCACTTTCCCAGATCTGGTTTTGGGGAGACGCTTCACCACCTGGCAAAGATGGGTGTTGTTAGGGTCTGGACAGTGCCCTCTGTCTCCAGTGTCACATTGCACAGAAATAAGAGTTCTCCTGTGGACATTTCTCACTGAAGACTCCACAGTAGCTGCCTGATATATGAGCCAAGGAAGGTCTTAATCCCCCTGTGACCTGGCCTTGAAGCTGAAATCAACCCAAAGGGCAGGATCTAACCTGTGACCAAGTTTTGCTGATGCCTCCTCCAAGTGTGACTGCTGGGCCTTTGCTTGCCTACCACTATACTTGAGTGGGTTCCTTCTCATCCCAAGCCTGAGACTTAGTTGGGGAAAAGCCACTGCGCAGAAAATTTTGTCTTACAGTCTGATGCAAAAGCTAATACTTTAAGAACTGTGTTTGGGAGGGGTGTGTGTGTGTGTGTGTGTGTGTGTGTGTGTGTGTGTGTGGTAATGGTAGTACTAGCTGGAGACTGAACCCAGGGCTTCATGTATATAAAATTTTTAATAATGACTCTGTCTTTGGAAATAGTTCACGTCACAAGTCCAGCTGTTAAGGCCAGCAGTTGTGAGCGATATGAAGGGGAGCTAGACTCTTTCTGCCTCAGAGGATCCCAAACCCAGAAATCACTATGGAGAGGTGTCAGTGAAGGAAGAAAACCTGAAAAGACTAACAGGTGGCCCGGGCCTTCCTACGGGAACTGAGTCCTTGCTGGGACTAGGAGCCGTGTTCAGAAACCCCACAGGGCTGGAGGACTCTGGTGCTTTCCATGTCTCTTGAATCTAAAATCTGTAATTTGGCTGAGCCATAGCTTAGTGGTAGAGTGCATGCTGAGCATTCACATGTCTCTAGGTTCGATACTCTCATGATTTGAATCTTAAATGCCCTCCAAAGACTGTGTTAAAGGTATGATCACCGGTTTGTGGTGTTATTGGGAGATAATGGAACTTATAGAAGGTGAGGCCCAATGAATGAAAATTGGGTCATTCAGGCAACAGCCTTTGAAGGACACATTAGGATTGCAGCTCTCCCTCCTTCTCAGCTACCATGATTTTGTTTTGCCACATGCTTCACACCAAAATAAGCAGTGTGGGTACAGGCCAAAATACAGCCCAACCAACCACCCATGAACTATAACTGTGGACCAAAATAACCTTCCCACCGTTTAAGTTAATTGTCTAAGGCATTGTGTCACAGAGATAGAAAGCAAACACATACCCAGCACCACCAAAAAGAAGAAGAAAAAATTCTATTCTCCTTACCGTTCAGTCCTATACCTGAAGGCAGCCTTCAAAGGCTACAGTGCAAAAGCATCTAGCCTTGCCCAGGGCTGTGTCCTAAACAGGTATGTGCTGTAAACTTCAAATGCTATGGCCTTTCCCAGTCTCAGGAAAACACGCAGGGAAGCCCAAGCCGCGAAGGACAGTTTTGACATTGGTGGCAAAGGAGCTCCATGCTTGTAAAAGTTGACCATTGCTTGACATTTGTGGAAAGCAGAGGAGATTTAAAGAGAGCGATGCTATCCCCCTGACGGGGAGTTGACTCACCAGGATCTGGTCAGGCACGGCATACTTGGCGATCTTGGTGGCCACTGCCGACTTCAGTTCATTTACTACCGCGTTCGTATCACGTGTGTCATCTTTCAGCACAATGAAGGCAAAGGCAGCTGGAAGAGAGCAAAGACCCGAGAGTGCTAGGTCCTGCCTGAGTCTGGCTTGACTCTGTGGTCACCAGCGGCTGTAAACCCAGAGGGCTTCCAAGTCATGAGATGGCTACATAGTAACAACTGGTTTCAGCTCCCGCAACCCTGAAGAAGCCTGCCCACGGCCCGGCAAGTGAAAACAATATGCCCGTGTCCCACATGGGTAGTCATGCATGGTTGAGAGCGTGACCCAGAGGCAGTGCTGATGGCTGTGCGTGACCTCGGACATGTGACTTAACATTCTGTTCTCTCAGCTGTGAAAGAATGCACGGTGTGGGCTGCCTGGAGATGGACACAAAATTGTGTAGCAGCACCCTGGTGAACACCTGGGTCCATGCCCAACAACACGGTGGCTGCTTAGCACAGTGGTCTTTTAACTTAAAAACGTGTTCCCTGAGGCTGGGGAAAGGACTCAATCAGCAACGTAGGAGCCATACAAGGATAATAACCCGAGTTCAGATCCCCAGCACCTGGATAAAAAGGCTGGCTAGGCATGGTGGTGTATGCCTATAATCCTAGCCCTGGGGAGGCAGAGACAGGAGAATCCCTGGAGCTTGCAGGCCAGCCTAGCCAATCAGTGAGCTCCAGGTTCAGTGAGAGACCATGTCTCAAAAAACTCAGTGCAGGACAACTGAGCAAGACATTTGACTCTGACCTCTGACCTTCACATGCAAGTGCACTATAAAAACATGCATGCACGTGCACGCGTGCACGCGCGCACGCGCACACACACACACACACACACACACACACACACACACACACACACACATTTCCCCATTGCACGGCCGTAGTTCAATCGCTCATTGAGTGTGCAGGGGCTACTGTATTAGACAGTCTCAAACTTCAGACTTGAAAAGCTTCATCATGGAAGAAAGTTCTGCCAGGCTGCAAGGTGAATGAGTGCATGTGTCAGCACAAACACTAGAGGACATTTTTCAGTATCCTGGAGAGTTCTGAAAAGGATGTCCCATGGCTCCTACTGCCACACAAGGATCTAATTGTACTGTTTGCCCTATGTCCTGACACCATTTCTGATGGCCTGTCCCTACTACTTGCCATGTCCCTCCTCACATAAAGTATTTATATATATATATATACTTCTCACAGCTTTCCAGTCTTTCATTTGTCTGCTCTGCACTGGTTTCCATCTTCCAAATGTATCCTTCCCCTGAGCCTCTTGAACCTGCTGCACTCTGTAGCTTCCTCGTTGACCGTGCTTACTGTTCAGCGTCTGCTCCTCCTTTCTCTTCCCTGACCATGCCATCAGGTGGCTCCATGATGGAAGAGGCGTCACCTACTTCACATTCACTGGTGTGTCTCCAGCATCTAAAACCATGCCTGGAGTATAGCAGGTGCTTGTTAATTACGTTGACAAATGATTGTTTCCTGTACAAGCTATAATCTACATGTAGTGAACTAAGCTGCTACTAGAAAGGCTCTCCCATGTCCACCTAAAAAACTCGTATTCATCCCTCAAAGCCCAGCTTGGTTAACTTAAACTCTATGACACTCTTTCTGACTCTGTCCACATGTGAAGTCTTCAGAGAAAAGAACTGCACTGTTTCGTCTTGGTAGTTGACATGACATTGGAGACAGACTTGGATTACTGATTCCAGAGGCAGGGATAAAGGCTGGTGGAGGAGCAGATGAAGATCCAGAAAGCAGTGTGCTTTAAATCAGCAGGACAAGAGGCTGGCCAAAGCCCACAATGTTCAGGTCCCAGTCAAATCAGAGCCAGGGGCTTCCACTGTTCAGAGGGAGTGGGGACAGATATGCAAGTGCATTCAAGCAGCTTGACATTAACTAAAAACTGTGAATGAGTTATTCCAAATCTGTTAGAAGCCAATGCAAGACCTACAATCACACTTACTATATGTAAATTCCCCTCCCAACTCTGCAAGCACTGAAGAGCTGGCAATTCCTATGCTGAGAGCTGCTGCCAGAGCAGAAGGAGGCCAGAGGGCCCAGAGAGAGTGGCAAGCATCAGGCACCACACTGGGAGTGCCCCTGAAGAACCCACATGTGGGCAGAGCAGCTGAGACACAGCACAACCCAGCATAGCCTGCCCAACCTAAAGCTATCCCTCTGCAATGCAGTTTCTTTGACCTTGTGCATATTCTCTAGGGTTCATATCCAGGGGCTGATATACACCTAAAGGCAAGGCAGAAGGTGCCTGGAGTCACAGGCTGCTTTCAGCAGTTCCTTGCCCTCTCAGGTTCAGGACTGAAGTATTGACACTGTCTTGAAGCTCAAACTGAACCTTCACAGTTTCCAAATGCCGGGAGCACACCAGTGTACTGCAGATCCCTGGACTGACTACAGAGATGTAAAATGCTGAGGCCCCAAAAGTGGTCCAGGTCCCTACCCAAATGAGGTACCTTCACAGTCACCCATGAAGAACTATTCTCACTGCTACCCACTTCCCATCCTGATGATATCTAGACATGGCCTCTGCTGGAGGCTGCCCCAAACTGCTCTCCCACATGCCTGTGTCCCCCTAACAAAGCCTCAGCCACATCAGCACATCGGTTCTATGGTAATGAAGGATGCTGTTTTTAAAGCACTTTTTTTTTGGTTTTTCAAGACAGGGTTTCTCTGTGTAGCTTTGCGCCTTTTCCTGGAACTCACTTGGTAGCCCAGGCTGGCCCCGAACTCACAGAGATCCACATGGCTCTGCCTCTCCAGTGATGGGATTAAAGGCATGCACCACCACTGCCCGGCTAGCACCTTTTTTTAAAAAAAAAATTGCGCCGGGCGGTGGTGGCGCACACCTTTAATCCCAGCACTCGGGAGGCAGAGCCAGGCGGACCTCTGTGAGTTCGAGGCCAGCCTGGGCTACCAAGTGAGTTCCAGGAGAGGCGCAAAGCTACACAGAGAAACCCTGTCTCGAAAAACCAAAAAAAAAAAAAAAAAAAAATTGCTTTTTAAATTTTGCAACAAGTCATTTCAAAGAAAGTATCTGATGGGGCTGGAGATATGGCTCAGCAGTTAAGAACACCAGCCTCATGGGAGCTCACGGACTCTAGACCAACAGCTAGTGAGCCTGCATGGGACCAACCTAGACCCTCAGCATGTGGGTGACAGTTGTGTAGCTTGGTCTATTTGTGGAGCCCCTAGCAGTGGGATCAGATCTGTCCCTGGTGCGTGAGCTGGCTTTTTGGAACCTATATTGTACGATGGGATACCTTGCTCAGCTTTGATGCAGCGGGGAGGAGCCTCAACTTGATATGTCATGCTTTATTGACTCCCATGGGAGGCCTTACCCGTTCTGAGTGGATGGGGGAGAGGACAGAAAGGAGATGGGAGGATGGAACGGGAGGAGAGGAGGGAGGGGAAACTGCGGTTGGTATGTAAAATAAATAAATAAAAAGAAAAAAGAAAAGAACACCAGCCACTCTTCCAGAGGACCAAGGTCCTATTCCCAGCATCCACATGGCAGCTAATAACCATCTGTAAATCCAGCCCCAGGAGATCCAATGTCCTACCCCACTCCACCCCACCCCACCCCACCCGTGCACAACCCTATCTTCTGTGGGCACAGAACACACAATGCACAGACATACACGCAGACACAGACATAAAATAAAAATACAATAAAGAAAGAAAAGGCAGCATCTGGGGGCTGTGGTGCAGTAGTAGTCTGCAAACCTAGCATGTTTGAGGCCTTGGGTTCTAGCCAGGACATTAAAAAAGTTAAAATGTTTGAGTAAATACTAGAACAGCAGCACCTAAGCGTAGACAAGAGACAGGTGTCAGCTAGAGCAAGCTGTAACGTGGAATGTCCCTAAGAGGAAAGAGAACACTCAATCCCAGGCCCCTGGGCAGGGCAGACAAGGTCATTCTGTGCAGAAGTGACCTCACACAGGCTTAGGATACGGCCAGGTCACACCAGTATGAGTGCCGTGGGCCTGCCATTGCAACACTCAAGTGTCCTTTCCAGACACAGCCACTTAGAAATCGGCTGGCTGGGGGATGGGGAAAGGCTTTTAAAAAAAAAGCTATAATTGGTTTAAGATCATTCTGATACCTGCTCTGCCCTCCCTCACTGCATCAAAATGCAGTGGAATCACAGGTCACATTTCCCACAGGTCACGTCTCAGGGCAGCACACAGTCTGCTATAGCCCAGTGCATAGGTAAGGCAACAGCAGAGCTGACATGTGTGCTGAAACCAAGCAGGTAGCTAGGCAGGGGGCCGTGTATGTGGCTTACAAAGTGTCCCAGAGACACTAGGAACAGAGGTGACTGTCCAGGCTTAGCCAGGGACTGAATAGGTCATGGCTTCTTGTGGCCTAGTGTCCTTAAAGGTCAGCAAATCTGAGCATTTCACAGTTCAGACCCTTAATGCTTACCTTGCTCAGTTTCCTCACCAGAAGGTAACAGTATGACCCACAAGGGCCTGTCCCTGCATCCTCTGAGACCTACGGTTCCTTCTACTGGGCATCCTGCTGGGCATGACCCTCCACAGTAGAGAGAAGGGGACACTCACCTTCTCCCTTGATGTCATGAGGGTACCCAATGACAGCAGTTTCTGGAACAGCAGGGTGGTCAGCCTGTGCACAACAGAGGACAAAAGGCCCTGATGTGACTTGGGGTGTACAATCCCACCCTGACTCTGAGATCAACAGAGGCGTCATTAGAGTACCAGTAAGTAAAAGGCAGGCTGAGCTTACCATTGCATCCTCAATCTCTGCAGTCCCCAGGCGGTGACCACTGATGTTGATGACATCATCCATGCGCCCTGTGATCTGGTAATAGCCACCCTCAGTCCGGTGAGCTCCATCTCCAGTGAAGTAATAGCCTGCACCATACATAGTGGGGCATTCAGTGCCAGGGACTCTGCACAGTCCATGGCCCAGCCCCACTCTGGAAGCTAACTCTGAAGGTGGCTGGGTTGTTATTGATCTGTGATCTCCCTCCAGCAACTAATGCAAAAACACCTCTCTAGGTGATATGGCAGGTTGTGTTCTAATGAGAAGGCAAGTGCCACTGAGACCACATCCCATGGATGATGTCAAGACTGCAAATGTCCAGAGAGCAGAAAACAGACAGAAGCACAGTTGAGATGCCCCTCAAGATGAGAGTCAGCTATAACCTTGAGACTGAAAGTTACTAGTTCCAGCAAGGCAGAGATGGTGGCAGTCACATAAACTTCCAACTCAGGACCCAAAAGAAAAGTGAGAAGAACATGAATGTAAACTGTGAGAACACCCACCCTTTGTGACAGTTTCCCAAGCATGTTTCTTCACTCATCTTTCCCAGTATATACCAATATATCCATCTCAGACCAAAGCCATGTGTTAATGGATACACTCATGTCCACCCAGGCCCCTGCAGAGGCTTGGTATGCCCACCCCACCCCCCAGTCAAGTTAAGGAAAGTCTGGAAAGTCTTCAGAGCCTCGCTTCCATAAAGCCATCACATTACACTCAGTTGCCATGAATTTAACCAGTTCCCTTATCTATGGAAACATGATTCCAGGAATCCATGGAGAAGGTATAGGGATCCACCCTAGCTGCTCACCTGGGTATGCTCTAAAGTAGGCATCTATGAACCTCTGGTGGTCACCATAGATGGTCCTTGCCATGCCTGGCCAAGCTTGGGAAATGCACAGGGCCCCAGAGACGTCACGACCCTCGACAACATTGCCCTATAGATGAAGGGAGACACATTCATGAGAGACCTGGCTAGTTCTGGGAGAAAAGCAGAGTCCTGACTGCTTGGCCCGAGGCAGAAAATATGAAGCACTGAACGGAACTGTCAAGAACTTTCCTTCTGGCAAGATCTGATGAGGGCCCTGGCTTGCAGCAGTCATCAGCCGTTCCATTTAAGAAGGAGCTGCAGAGAGTGTGTGAGGACTTGGCCTTTACTCCAGGGACCAGACCGTGCATCTCAGCAAGAGACAGAAAGCAGGGGATGTGGAAGGCTTGCCAGATGAGTAGCAAGGCATATGTACAGGGGACAACCTCTGCAGGACCCCACTCACCTTCTCATCCATGAGTGCTGGGACGATGCCAAAGAAGGGCCTCATGGCCATACCCGGGAGGATCTCTGCCCCATCTTCTGAGGGCCGTGGTGCGATGCAGATGCCACCAGTTTCTGGAGGAAGGATGAAGGAATACCGATTGACCTGAGAACCAGGGGTGGGTAGTTTCCAGAACATGCCCATCTAGGCTTGGACTGCACTCTCCTCCACTGCGGGCACAAGCAGAGCCCTCTGCTCTGCATTCAGCAGATGGGTGCGGGTTCTACTCTCTGTTTAATAGGCTCTCACTGGGTCAGGCCTGTGTTTAAAATAGGAAAGGGGAAAGGGCCACCTACTTGCATAGGAAGATGGAAGAAATGAACAGCTTGAAGCCAGGACCTGTTTGGCTCACGACAATGAATAGTAAAGTCCGTGTGGCCAGCATGTATGGCAGCAACTCATGAGGCCCACTGTGAAAAGTTCTCTGTCCCAAGTCTTCCAGCACAGACAAGCGCTATTCTTTGAACCTGTCTCATGCTGGCTACTTGCAACCCAAGACTTCCAACAGCTGTGTTACTGTATAGTGGTGGCCTCTTCCCCTAAACATCCCAAGGAGTCAAATATTCAAAAAAGGACAAATTAAAACAGCCACAGGAAAACTTCCTTTTCCTGCCAAAATTTAAATTTAGACTCTGGATCCCTCGAACAAAAGGACTTGTCCTCCTCAGAAGTGGCTGTGTTCAGAAAGGGGTGGCTCAGTGGCAGAAGACTAATGAGCACATATGAGACCCTGGGCTTGACTCCCAGTGCTGCACCAAAATTTAAAAAGGAAGGAAGCAAGCCAGGAAAGGGCCACCGCCTGCAAAAGAGAGGGAACTCTGAGAACTTGCCAGTCCACTGGCCTTAGGCCACTTGCCCTAGCATATCACCTCATCTCCTCCTCACTCTGAGGCTCACACAGAGGCTGCGAGAAGCACATGAAAGCAAGACTCAGGAGAGCATCGCACATCCCCCAGCAGCCAGGCTGTACCTCTGAGCCTTCTCCTCTACAGTTGCATACTGAAGGGACACGGGCCTGGTGAGCACCGTCACAGCCACTTGAGAACATGAACCCCGGCTCTAGGCATGCATGAGCCCCTCCAGTCCCCCGCTAGTCCCCAGGCCTGTTCCAACTCCCCCTCAGGGACACTCACCCGTCTGCCACCAAGTGTCCACCAGCGTACATCTGCCGTCACCCACCACCTTGTGGAGCCACTCCCAGGCTTCATGGTTGATAGGCTCTCCCACTGAATCCACACAAAAGCAAGAATTACTTTCAAATTAAAAACTAGTAGTCTTCAAGAAAACCAGAAGCCAAAACGAATAAATGATTAGGGAGCTTCCTGAAGGTTACATCAAAAGACCTGGAAAGGCCTGTGTTCCCATGTCCATAGTCTTCAGAGTAATATACATTATGATGAGTACATTCAACATGACACTTCAAAAGGCAAAGAAAAAAAGGGTCAAGAATGTGGGGAAACAGAATTTCACCCACAGTGCAGGACTGAAACCGGGCACACAGAGTTCCTGAGGAGCAAGTGACACATTTGCTGACATATTTAAGAGAGTATACATCCTGTACAACTACTTTGGACAATTGTCAGGGGCAGAATCTACTAAAGCTAAAGGTGTGTTTACCCCACTATCTGAAATTTTGACTCCTGACTTCATTCCACAGAACTAAAAGTAGACACCTGACAAAAAAATGGGCATGTACAAGGATAGATCTATGCCAGTCTTGCTCATCACAGCCAGAAAGAGACTGCCTTTAAGGGTAGAATGGCTAAGTTGGGGTATATCTATATAGTGGAATACCATATAGTTATGAAAATAAGCAAGCCATTGCTACCCATGACAACACATTGTATGGCCCCATCCACATGAAGTTCAGAACATAAGAACACACACTGAGAGAACTACAGTGGTCACAAGAGGTTGCTAAAGGGAGCCTTCCATATCCTATTCTGCTTTCTAGTCTATATTCTTCTATAGTTGATCTTGGTAGCAGTCATCTGTGTTATGTATGAAAGAAAGTCTTTATCAACCTGGCTCCTTAGCATCTGTACGTTTGATGGATCTTAAGCCTCTGAAAAGAGGTACTCTGCCTTAGCATTTTGTGATTTTTCAGTGTCTGTCAGGAAAGTTTCCAGGACTAACACACAACCCTCGCTCATCAGTTTAAAGCAACTACTGCTGAAACAATGGGGTGCCCTTCTTGCTAGTCACCTGTCAGGGCTACTCAGTCAGCACTGCCTAGCACTCTGAGCCTCAGGCCCATGCTAAGCCACACAGCACTTTGCTCACCTGACCCCAATGTGCGCAGGGAGGATCGGTCATACTTTTTCACCCAGGCATCCCCGTACTTCAGTAGCAGCCGGACAGCTGTCGGGGCACCATAGAACTGGTTGATCTTTAGCCTCTGCACTGTCTCCCAGTAGCGACCTACAAAAGGGGCAGAGTCAGCCAAAGATCCCACCATGCATGGCCTATTTTTTTTTTTTTTTTTTTTTTTTTTTTTTTGGTTTTTCGAGACAGGGTTTCTCTGTATAGCTTTGCGCCTTTCCTGGAACTCACTTGGTAGCCCAGGCTGGCCTCGAACGGCTGGCCTCGAACTCACAGAGATCCACCTGGCCTAGGCTTCGAGGAAAGGCTAGATGTAGACAAGTGGGGTGGCCCTAAATATGAGACAGAGAATGTTAAACCTCCCGAGTGCTGGGATTAAAGGCATGCGCCACCACCGCCCGGCACATGGCCTATTTGATACACATTCAAGCTAAACTCAGAGTTACTAAGGGCTGGGGTTATATATGTGATCACAGAAAAGGAGCCAATACCATCCCTGAAGAATGGAGTTCTAGGGAACTCCCTAACTACAAGGTGGCATGCAGAGGCTTCTACACCCAACCTTAGATGACAGCATCACGCAAGGCATTCTACGTGAGCTAGCCAGGGATCAGCTTCAGATGTTATTGCTGCAAGTTTAAAAAAAAATGACTCGTCTTCCCTTGGTAACAACATAGCCACCGGTATGTGTGCAGCCATGTGCCCAGAAAACACACACCTAATACTCATGAAACTCGGTAGCTCACACTATTCCCTGAAGCTGCATTTAAGCAATGACCCTCCATCCCTGCTATCACTCCATTATGCTTCCTTGAGTGCCGCTGGAGGGGACCAAGAGGCATCAGGAAAAGTTCATGCCCCAACACTGTGGCATGCTAGGGCAAGAGCCAGCAGTGGAGCCCCCGCAATTTGACTACATTAAAGCAAATGTTTGGGGACATTGTGTTGCGCGAGAGAAATACCAAAGACAGCAGGATGAGGCCATACCCTCAAAGCGAGTGTCGCTTAACAAGGGTGGCTACAAGCCACGTATGGTCCTAAAGGCTTGGGCAGTGAGGCTGAGGAGGGAAGGAAAGATGGGCAGCTGGCCTAGGCTTTGAGGAAAGGGTAGATGTAGACAAGTGGGGTGGCCCTAAATATGAGACAGAGAATGTTAAAGCGATGCTCTCTGCAGCCAGCTTCCAGTACAGGGGCAGTGAAAGTGAAATGGGGAGTTTTCAAATGAGATTCTTCCCTGAGCAACTCCCTCTGATCTTTCTGCACACAGCACTAGGCTCCAGTTCATGTAGCATTCTAGTGTCCACTTGGCATCTGGTCAATGGGACACAAGAACAGTTCCCTTGCCAGATCCAAGCCTCCAGGCTTCTGTGACCCTTCCCTCCAACCTTGAGATCCCTCCCACACTACCTAGAGCAGGCCTCACCAGAGTTCTTGGTCCTCACCAGCATCCGGGTAAACAGGGGTGCTCTCAAAAAGGACCGTGGTAGCTCCATTGCAGAGGGGTCCATACACCACATAGCTGTGCCCTGTGATCCAACCGATGTCAGCCACACAGCCAAAGACATCACCTGGCTGGTAGTCAAACACGAGCTACGGACACAGGAAGGGACCCTCAAGAACTTGCCTTCCCCAAGTCACCCTTTTCCTGCCCACCACCAAGGCATAGTCATTTGCACAGCAGTCTGTAACTGATACAGCCACCACAGTTGCCGGGAGTAGGGTGAGTGATGGCTTGTAGGAGTTTCCCACAGAGCTCAGTGGAAGACAGAATCATCCACACAGACAGCAGCAGTATAGCCAGTACCAAACAGTACACGGTACACGAGCCTAGGGGGAAACTCCAAGCAAAATCATGCTGAGCTACAGGAGGAAGTTGCTCAGGAGTTTATCTGTGAGCTGAAGATGGCCCATGTCCTGGAACACGTACACGCCCAGCGGTGCCATTTCATCTCATTGTACAATTAAGGTGTGGCAACTTGAAGTGGGAATGTAAGTACATTGGCAATAGAGTACAGGCTTGTCATACATGAACCCCTAAGTTCAACTCATAGCATCAGGAGAAAGAAAAAAAAATCTGGCATATTTCTGAACTACCTTATATCAGTGTTGTTTTTTTTAACATTTAAATTTTTTAAAAAATCAAATGCAAGCACCCATGGAGCACCATCAGCTTCCCCTTGCTGAAGGGTCATCTTGGGATCCTGTTGACCATTTGAGGAAAACAAAGCTTAGAGGGACCCAGCTGCCATAGACACAGTCCAAGGAAATGAAAGGGATAAAGGGGAACCCACAGGGTAAAGAAAACATCCAAATAATGTGATGAACAGGAATATGGATTTCTAGGGATATGGCTCTGGGGTGAACCTTGAAAGGAACATGGGTCAGTGATGTGTCACATTATAAAGGATGGGACTGTAGAGGAGGCTTCTGCAAGACTAGTAGTCTATTTCTTCACCAAAAGTGATGTTCATTATATAGTAACTCTTTGAACCACAGATTGGATTTTGGTAGGATTTGTGTATGTTCAAAAAAGAGTTTTGCTGGGCATGGTAACACACAGCTTTAGAGCCTCACTCTTGGAAGGCAGAGGCAGGCAAAGCTCTGAGTTTGAGGCCACTCTGATCTACATGGAAAGTTCCAGGCCAGCCAAGACTACATAGGAAGACCTTGTCTCAAAAAACAATATTTTTAATCTTTGGTTGGGAAGTCCCCCAGTTCCTGCTACCACAGACAGGGTCAGTTTCTCTAGGAATCAGCAGTTTACAAGCAGCTGTGAGAGATCGTGAGCAATCAGACCCTTGTAAAGTTGTGTCTCCAGGCCAGCAAGGATGCTCTGGAGAAGAAAGGCACTTTCACTGTTCTGGGGAATCAGGATGTTCTTAGCTTAAAACTCCAAGCACACAAGAGCAGAAAAAAAAAAATATGTATGCAATTCAGATCCAAATTGTCTGTCCTGGGACTGGAGATTTCTTTCTCCATAGTCCCTTACAGGAAACCAGGGGCTGTGTGCAGTCATTCTCCAAAAGGCCCAGCAGCCAGGAAAGTCTATGCATCCACTGCATGCCCCAATGTCACTCCCACCTCTATCGCCCTTCACAGTGAACCATCTTCTTCCCTAAGAGTCCCAAATACCATCAGCATGCAGCCATGTGCATGAGCACACCTATAAACACACGATCACATGCATGTGGGCAAATAGGCTCATTTGTATGCATCACATACATTTATAGACATGTGAACATTCCCCCAGGTGAATACATACATGCGCATTAAAACATGTACACTTGTTCGTGAGCATACACAAAGATCCCTACAGCCATGGTAAGCATCAACAACATTTGAACCTAGGACCCTAGCACACACTGTCATCTGAGTACAGGACAGCCCCAGTGTGGATGCCTCTAGCCATCTTCCACTGAGAACACAGAGACATGGAAGCCTCAGCACTTGCACAAGCTGAACCAGCCACATCAAAGCAGAGCTGGGCACACTCAGAGGGGAAACCAGACTTTTAATCCAACAGCCTTTTTTCTGTGTGTTATAGCCACACAGAGAGAGGGCTATAGAGTTGCCTGGGTTCCTGGGACCACCTCAGGCCTCTTATACCCCAAGGCCTGAGTGTGACACTTGGCACAGAAAAAAACTTCCAACACCAAATGAGCAGAAAGACACACTCTTTCTTGCCTGTTTGTTCTTAGCCATAAAAGCCTGAAAGTCTCCCAGTGCTCTTTTAAAAAACACCGAAGTATTGAAAAAGATGCTCCCTTCCCTATCTCTACCCCTTGTGGTAGTTTGAATAAGAATGGCCCCCTAGGCCCATTTATTTGAATGTGTAGTCATCAGGGGGTGGCACTATTTGAGAAGGGTTAGGAGGTGTGGCCTTGTTAGAGGAAATGTGTCACTGGGGGTAAGCTTGGAGATTTCAAAAAGCCTATACCAGGCCTGACCCCCCCTTCTCTCTCTCTCTCTCTCTCTCTCTCTCTCTCTCTCTCTCTCTCTCTCTCGATCTCACTCTGCCTTTGGATCAGGTCATAAAATCTCTTAGCTATTTCTCCAGTGTAATGAATGCCACCTTGCCACCATGCTCCCTGCCATGATGATGATAATGGACTAAGCCTCTGAAACTGTAAGCAAGTACCCAATTAAATGTTTTTTTATATATACAAGAGTTGCCTTGGTTGTGGTGTCTCTTCATAGCAATAGAAAGTGACTAAGACAGAGATTGGTACCAGGGACTGGGATATTGCTATGACAGGCCTGACCATGCTGTTTGTTGGAGGAATATGGAAGACTTTGGGACTTTGGGCTAGAAAAGCATTTGAATGCTTTAAGCAGTGTTTAACAGGACATTTTCATAGGAGCATGGAAGACAGTGCTGAGGGTGACTTGAACTGTGGTGGCCCAGCTCAAGAAGTTTCAGAGGGGAAGAACATTAGTGAGTGGCCTAGAGGCCATTTTTGTGATATTTTGGTAAAGAACACGACTGTTTTTCACTTTGTTCTAAAAATCTACCTGAGGCTAAATTAGAGTTTTGGATTAATGGCTTTGGCAAAGGAGATTTCAAGACAGCCTAGTATTGACTCTGTTGTGTGGTTATTAATCATTCTTGTGTATGTGTATATACATATATATATACATATACCTGTACATAGATATAATGAAAAGGAGCAAACTGAATGAAGAGAAATACAACATGTACAGTTTGAGGAGGAAAAGCACCAGGAAAGGTGATGTTGGAGCTAAGTCCGATGCTCAAAGAGATTAAAAAAAAAAAAAAAATTAAAGGAAATCCTGATGCTAAATAGAATAGAGTGGGAACCTCAGGGCAAGACCCCACCCAGATAAGCTTCCAATTTGTGAAAAGGAATTAAGCAGCAAAGGGAACCACCGTTAACAACAGAAAGCTGATGCAAATGTAAGGGGTCAAGTTCCAGTGCCAGCAAGCAACAGAGTTTGGCAGCTTCAGCCCCCCACCCCCTGCATGATGCTGTCTTTAGAGTCAGGGATACAAGAAAGGGTGGTGGAGTCTCCCTCCAGCTAAGGAAAGCTGCTGAGACCAGGGGTGTGTCATAGGTTTCCTTGCATGGAAGTCCAGAGAGGCCATTGCACGAAGCTGTGAAAGTGAAGCCTGGATTGTGTTAGAGCTCCCAAAATGTGGGAGTCGCCAGAGATGGGATACCTGCCAAAGCAAGCTGCTAACAGGAAACAGAACCAGCTCAAGAGAGAGGAGTGTGTTACAGTCAACAAAGCTGAAAGGAGTTGGAGATCTGAAAAGTGCCTTGACACCAAACATGGAAATACAGCATTTGGAGTTTGCCCTGCTGGGTTTCGGTCTTGCTTTGGTCCAGTATGTCCTCACTATGCTTGCTTTCCTCCTTTTTGAAATGGTAATGTATATTCTGTGCTATTGTATGTTGGAAGTACATAATATGCTTTTTGATTTTGATTTTACAGGGGTTTATGATTAAGATACTGTCCTGTGTCTCAGAGACTTTGGACTTTTAAACAGTGTTGAGACTACCATAGTCTATGGGGACCGTTGAAGTTGAACTGAATGCATTTTTGCATTATGACATGACTACAAGTCTATGGGGACCAGAGAGTGAGATGTGGTGGTCTGAGTGAGAATGGCCCCCATCCCATAGGCTCATGTATTTGAATGATTAGGAACCAAGGAATAGAACTCTTTGATAGGACTAGAAGGATTGGGAGGTGTAGCCTTCCTGGAGAAAGTGTGTCATTGGAGGTGGGCTGTAAGGTTTCAAAGCCTGTGCCGGGTGCAGTCTCTCTCTCTCTCTGCCTATGGATCAGGATTTAGAACTCTCAGCTACTTCTCCAGCACCGTACCTGCCTTCATGCCATGATTATGAACTATACTCTGAAACTGTAAGCAAGCACCCAATTAAATGTTTTCTTTTCTAAGAGTTGCCTTGGTCATGGTGTTTCTTCCCAGCAATAGAACAGAGACTAAAACACCAGCCAAGATTTTTCTGGGACACAAGGCTTTCTCTGGAAGCTTGGCTGGAACTCTGGCCTCATGATAGAAGAGACCAGGCCAAGGAAAGTTGCTACCAGCCAGAACAGTGTCTAAGCCCTGCTCACAGAGACATGGGTTTCACGGCCATATTGTTCCCTTTACTGTTGCTACTAGTTGTAGGTGAGTTTACTTTTAGGAATAGAGCATCCTGTCCACCAATGGAACCTAGAAACTCACTCCTAGCTGGGAAGTGTCAGCTACTCCCCGAGGCAACCAGCAACCCATGTTAAATCACAGTTGTCTACCCATCAACACTTTCTATACACACTTATTGGAATAAAAGCATGATCTGTCGTTTCACATGCCTGAAGGGTGGCCCACTGTTGTGCAATTTCCACTTAATATTTCAAATTTCTTTATAAATGTGTTCTTAATTCTATTTTTACTTTTGAATCCTCAATTGTTTTAGCAACTAAAATTTTTTCCTTTTCATTTTTAGGATCAGTGGGAAGCCAGGCTTGCTAATACAAGCCTATAAGCCCAGCTCTTGGGAAGCTGAAGCAGGAGGATGACACAAGTTTGAGATCAGTCTGGGCCACTGAGTAAGATTCTATCTTAAAAAAACAAAACAAAACAAAGATTGTAAAAGCCAGAGGGGACAGATGACTCCAAGGAGACAGTGTCTTCCAGAAACAAGGCTGGTGCTAATATGAACTCACAGACTATGGCAGCATGCGCAAGGCCTGCATAGGTTCCCAGCACTGGGAGGAAAAGAAGACACAGGGTCTGGCTTAGTTACGGTTTTATTGCTGTGAAGAGACACCATGACCACAGCAACTCTGATAAAGGAAAGCATTTAATTGGGGCTGACTTACAGTTTCAGAGGCTTAGTCCATTATTGTCATGGCGGGAAGCATAGTGGCATGTAGGCAGACATGGTGCTGGAGAGGTAGCTGAGAGTTCTACATCTGGATCTGCAGGCAGCAGGAAGAGAACTGGCTTGGGCTTCTGTGACCTCAAATCTACCCCTAGTGACACCCTTCCTCAAACAAAGCCACATCTACTCCAACAAGGCCACACCTCCTAATGGGGCCACTCCCTATGGACCAACTATTCAAACATATACGTCTATGGAGGCCATTCCTATTCAAACCACCACAGGGTCTCTCACTCCTAACAAAGAAGTTATCTGCAACTGATACTCACTGGCAAAGGGAAAATCAGTTTTGTCCAAGAGTGTATATCACTGAGTATATCAACCATACTCCAGGGCAGGGCCCATACCCAGGCATGATTGACAAAGATAATATGGACTCAATGATATTTTTGTGGATTTTTCATTTTGTTTTTGTATTTTTTTTTTGTCTTATTGGTGTTATACTTGTTTTTGTTTTTGTTTGGGGGAGTTTGTTTTTGTTTCTTTTTTTGAAAGAGAGAAACGGAAAGTTTGGTTAGGGAGGTGGGGAAGACCTGGTAAGACTTAGGGGAGGGGAAAAACATGATCAAACTGTATTGTATAAAAAAAAAATTCTAATGAAATAAACAAACAAAAAGTAAAAATCAGAAGGAAAGGATAAACTATGAACTTCTGAGTAGAAGAAAAGTAAGTATTTTAACATATAATAGTGCATGCATTCATTTTTACACCAAGACAGGGCTGCGTTTGGCTTGGCTTTGGTTTTCTGCAGTCCTGCAGCTGGAAGCCAGTGCTTTGTGCACACTAAGCACGTATTCCACCACCCCAGCCCTGGTGAGTTCCTGCTGTTTATATCCTTTCTCTTTACAACGCAGCTGTAAGGTACATGTGTAAGGAGCTCATGAAGTCAGAAATGAAAGGGAGCCTCCATGGACTCCATCCCCCACACCACCAGCAGAAGGACCTGGAGCAGGATAGAGGGGCTGTTGGGCCACTGCAAGCTCAGATGTACCCTGGCTCTTCTCTCTCTTTCACACACCCACTCTACTGCGCCATAGTTCACCACAGCCTGCTCATAAGCGTGCTACAAGCAAACATCAGTACCACAAGCTGTGGCTGCAAGAATTCTAGCCATCATTGTGGTTCCTCCTTGCCCTACCCAGAATCTGCCAGAGGCACAGCAGGGGCCATCCTTCACCCTTTTCCCCTGGGTTCCTACCTTGTGCGTCATGGCAGCATACAGTAGATAGCCCGCCTGCGTATGAACGAGTCCCTTGGGTGAGCCGGTGCTCCCAGAGGTGTAGAGCATGAAGAGCATGTCTTCACTGCTCATGCTTTCAGGGGCACACACAGGGGCCTCTTTGGCCATTTCCTGGAAGGGACAGAAGCACATTTAGCCACTCCCCTCCATTAGGCCCCTGGAGAGTACCATTTCCCTAGCTGAAGTCAAGACTCTCAAAGTTTACATTTTATGTCATTTTCAAATGCAAAGACTCGAAAAGACAGATTGAGGCTAGTGATATAGCTTGGTGTTTGAGCTCCTACTTAGCATATGCAAAATGCTGGGCTCCATTCCCACTGCAGGGGGCAGGGAGGAAGCTGGAGGGGCACATCTAGAAAATCCAGACTAGGAGTCTAACAATTCCCAGACCCGGGTGATCTAATAATAATCTCTCCTCACACTGTACCACATGAGGTAAACCAACCTGCTCAAGGGGAATGTCCAGATTCCCCATGTGGACCTTGGCGTCTGTCCTGTGAGCCACCAGGACATGCTGGACTGTTGGGCAACTCTTCACAGCTTCATCCACTATTTTCTTCAGTTCCACTACACGCCCTCCCCGGAGTCCTTGGTTGAAGGTGATAACAACCTTGCACTTGGCTAAGGAACACAACACAGACTGTCTGATCAGTGTAGACCCTCACAGCCCGGCCTGACTTGTAGCTGGATATTCCAGGTCTAGGAGTATGACAGAGGAAATCCAATCCAGTAAAAGAACCCACAGAAAATGTAAGGTCTGCTTGCTGTGAAAGCTCGGGGTGTCACATAGAAGTGCCCTGTCTTTCCTCAACTCGGGGGGGGGGGGGGGAGTGGGAAAGAACCAGAAACAAATTTTTTTGAGACTAAACTGTTCTTCCTCAAGTTAACAACATAAAGACAGTTTCCCAGGCAGGCTTTTACCCTCTCACCTGTCCCAGGAGCTTGCCCCAAGTAAGGAATGGTCACACTGCCTAGTGTAACCCCCGGGGCAGAGAAACACCAAGAGATGAAGACCAAATCCCAAGGCTTCCACATAGCCAGTCCTGCCAGTGACTTCTGTAGGCCAAAGCCCTTTGCTGTCTGGAGAATAGAGTCCCTGCCTCCAGGTGGGTGCCAGGAGTTGTAGCCCAGCCTTGCCTTCAGGGGAGCATCCCCCTGTCACATCCCTCCCTCTCTTCAAAGACCCAGCCAGGCTTGGCTCAGCACTCTCCCTGGAAGTCCACACTTCTACAACCAAGCTAGCTGAGGCCCGGGGCAGAGTGTGAGAGACACTATGGTTCTGAGAGACTAGCCTTCACACTACCTTAAGGGGCTAACCCAACAAACAGACTCCCATGTGTGGATTAATTTTCAGTCTGTCCTGTGTAGGAGTCTCGGCAGTGGTACTACCTGCAGGAGTTCTCCATACTCTTGGGTGTTAAGGATTGAATTTCAAGTGTCTCCCCCAGGTTCCCAAGCTGGTGGTGATATTTTGAGAGGTTCTAGAAACTTTAGGAGGTGGAACCTAGCTACAGTAAGTGGGTTGCTTGGGGCATGCAGCTGAAGGTTGTCACACACACACACACACACACACACACACACACACACACACACACACACAGAGTCTCTTCTCTGTTTTCTGTCTACTATGAGGTGAGCAGCCTCTGCTTGACGGTCCCACCAGCATAATATTCCCCCTCACTGTGGGCACAGAATCAGTGGAGCCAAACAAAATGGACTGAACTCTCCAAAACCCTAACCCCAAATAAGCCCTTCCCCACTTAAGGTGTTTTTTTTTATCAGGTATTTAGTTACAATGATACAAAAAATAACTAATATCCTAGGGCCTTAAATCTGATCCTGAGCCATACACTGCTGTCCATTTCCTCCTGTGAGGGGAGCTCTGGGGTCCAATCTGGACTCCTTTTCCCAGCCCCATGGCCTACCATCAATGGTGCCTCCCGGGTCAGCTCCTAGATGACTGAAGGCACAGTTTCTTCTTAGTGGACAATCCTGAAGAATTGTTGCAGGAGGGGCCTTCCTGAGCCTCATAACCAGCCAACCTCTGCACTCCCGTACTGTTCATTCAGAGGTCCCCAAGTTCTGGGAGCTTCCCCAGTTCCCACCACGTAACCATATACTACAGTCCTCATCCTCAGAGACTCCTAGCTGACAAACTCAGTCACTACAGTTACAGCAGCAGGAGGGACAGGAGCAGCCCGCTAAACGCTATAGCATCAGCTCTTACGGAAAACCCCAGTTCTCCCACTTATCAGCTGTGTGATTTGGGGTAAATTCATTTAATTCTCTGTGTCTGTTTCCTAATTAAAAGGGAATCATAGTAAGGCATAGTGGCACACACCTTTAATACCAGCAGTCAGGAGGAAGAGGCAGGCTGATCTTTGAGAGTTGAGGCCAGCCTGGTCTACATAGTGAGGTCCAGGACAGCCAGAGCTACATAGTAAGACCCTAACTCAAAAAACAAAAGGAGGGAGACAATAGTAACCCCTTCATAAAGAAAAGACCAGGATCAGGCAGGTGCACTGGCAAATGAAGAATTGACATTTAAGAAGACTGCAAGCTGGGGGGTGGTGGCACACACCTTAAATCCCAGCACTCGGGTGGCATAGGTGGCGGATCTCTGTGAGTTCGAGGCCAGCCTGGGCTATAGAAGTGAGTTTCAGGAAGGGCTTCAAAGCTACATAGAGAAACACTCTCTCAAAAAAAAAAAAACAAGAAGACCTTGCACCTTGGACAGATGGAGTCCTAGTCAACCAGCACCAATCCTTCTCCAGTTCTTTTAAAAACGGCAGGAAGTTATATTTCCGATTTCATTTTATGAGGACGGCATTATTTTGATGCCAGTGTCAGACAAAATCACTAAAAGAAAACTGTAGGTGAATAAACATCCCTCCTGAACAATGTTGCAGAACCCCTCAGTGCTATTAGTAACAAGACTGTAGCCCACAGCAAGTAGGGTTTGCCCACAGGAAAGCGAGGACAACTCAGCAAACAGAACCCAACAATGTCATACACGATATTAACAGAATACAGGAAAAACCTATGTTTCAACGAGTGCAGGGAAAGCATCTGATAAATCCAACACCTTTCATGCTAGAAACACGAAACAATAAAGGAGGAATCCGATGAAATGTCCTCAACCTGATAAAGAGCATCCAGGCAACGCCATGGCTGACAGCATATTCAGACTGAAAAAACCAACGCATTCCCTCTGCGATCAGGACCCAGATGAGCATGCCAGCTTACCCCATCACTAGTCAACATGGTCACAGGACTTCCAACCAGTGTCACTGGAGAACTAAATGAAAACCATCAAGAGTGGAAAGGAAGAAGTAACGCTGTCTCTACCCACGGAAGACATAGACTGTAGGTAGGAAATCTATTTGAAAACTATGAAAGTTAATAAGCATTCAATAAACTTACAGAACATAAGAATAAAATGAAAATTTCAGTTGTGTTTGATGGGCAAAATGTTGTTCACCTATAATCCTAGCCCAAGAGACTGAAGCTAGTAAATTTCAAGTTCAAGACCAGTGAGAAGACTGTCTAATGAATCATGGGTGGGAGTATGTTGGCTCATGATACACAAGGCCTAGGGACTTCTGAGCTCCTCCCATGCCCACCCATGCTCACCATCATTGATCCTCCCAGCCAAGGACTCTGCACTAAAGCCAGCAAATACCACTGTGTGGATAGCTCCAATCCTGGCACAGGCCAGCATTGCCGCCACAGCCAGTGGGGACACAGGCATGTATATGGCCACACGGTCCCCTCGGTGCACTCCATGCCTCTTCAGGGTGTTGGCCAGGCGGCACGTGGTCTCCAGAAGCTCCCTGCAGCATAGAGAAGAGAAGGCCATTAGGGACAAGGAAGAGCCACAATGCAACACAATGCAGAGTGGGACAAGTCACAGACTACAGGCACTGTGTCCCAGCCCAGTGCAGAAGGAGAGCAGGTGGGTTTGCAGCATGGCAAGACAGTCATTTTGGTTTCTGAGAGGTCATGTTCCCAAGACTTCTAAGAATGTTGGCTTAAAAAAAAAAAAAGGCCAAGGCAGGTTTTAAAGAAAGTCTTCTGGCAAGAGAAAAGGAGGGTCCCAGTTTTCTATATCAACAGAAGCCAAAGCACCAAGAAACACTTCTAGTCAAGTGCTTAGACCTTGGTGGGACAGGTACCAAATGTGAAGCCATAGTGACTGGGAAGAGAAATCAACAGAAAGATGACCACCCTGCCTCTAACCCCCTGGGCAGAGTTGACAGGCAGAGATCTGTGCCCAGCACTGACTGGGCATAAATGACAGACTGGCAACAAACAGGCACACAGACACACAGACACACACACACACACACACACACACACACACAGACACACACACACACACACACACACACACACACACACACACCTACATCCACATGATATAAGAGTCCTCACCAGGTCACAACATTTAGCCAGCTAATCAAAAGATAAGAAGTTGGGTTGGCTCAGAGTTAACTAACGATTCTTTCATAATCATAACCCTTGGCTAATCATAGTCCCTGCATGATACTGAATTCCAAGAAAACCAGGAGCAGCCGAGTGGCGGTGCACACCTTTAATCCCAGCACTCGGGAGGCCGAGGCAGGCAGATCTCTGTGAGTTCAAGGCTAGCCTGGTCTACAGAGTTCATTCCAGAACAGCCAGGGCTACACAGAGAAACCTTGTCTCGAAAAACCAAAGGAAGAAAGAAGGGGAGGAAGGAAGGAAGGAAGGAAGGAATGAAGGGAGGGAGGAAGGAAGGAAGGAAGGAAGGAAGGAAGGAAGGAAGGAAGGAAGGAAGGAAGGAAGGAATGAAGGAAGAAAAAAAAAACTCAGGAGTATAGAATAGGAAAGCTGCCCCACGGTGGAGGCAGAAGAGGAGAAAAGCAGAGCAGAGGGCAGAAGTGTGTGTCTGGCTGTTCTAACACCTTTTCTCATCAAACTTGGACGTGGAAAATGGATACCCATTTTCCCTCTTTTTCTGTGCATTGTTTGATATTAATTAATTATTTACAACAATTAACTGATAATCAATAATTAATTAATTAATTACAACAAAAAAACTAACTCAGAAGGCTAGAGTAAGTGGGAGAACAAAGACCCCCTTTTCCTGGCCACACTCCTGACCTCTGAATTGCACCAAGATGCTCCAAATAAGGCAGAGCCAGGCCTGCAAGCAGGCCCACGGGGGAACCTTGCTTCAAGCCCCTCAAAGCCCATGAAAAGCACAATTCCCTATCCACGGGGCTTCAAGAAAGGCTAATCTCAACGAGAGGCCCCTGGGAAACGACAGCAGAGTGAAAATGCAGCCCCCATCTCAGGCAGAGTTCAAGGAGTCCTTTGTTTCTTCTGAAGCTGTTCTGCAAAGGCACCCGAGTGCGCCTGATGCCCGTCCGGCCTGCTATTGGCTCAGCTGCTGGCCACTCCTGCCCAGCTCAGCCCAGTGCCCCTTGAGGGCTTCCATCTTTTCTCCCTGAAGCTTTAAAGAGGACAAAGGCGCCATTCAGCGGTACTTTGCCTACCCTTTCCCTAAGTTAACAATAAAAAAAACGCTCCAAGGCCAAAGCCACAGAATCTAGGGCCCAGAATCACTCCTACTCCTCTAAGAAGCCTGCCCGGTGCTAAAAAAAAAAAAAAAAAAAAAAAAAAAAGCTATGATCAGATGCATGAAGAAATCAGGGCCCTTCCCACCAGCTCTAGAGCTTATGCCCTGGGCAGTGCTGAGGGAGATGGAGTCTCGAGTGCCATGCCCACTGACCACTGGTATTGAAACACAGCCTTTGCCCTGAGGCAGCAGTTTAAAGAAAGAAGGACTGTGGCCTGTCCTTATAGCAAGACCTTCCTATAGCAGACGCAACCCTACTACAAGTTCTGTGATCAGCCTGACACTTGCCTAACGTCACACAGTGTAAGTGCACCCTCCACCCCCAGCCTGAGAGTCTGAGATGAGCTCTAAACAGGAAACAGCGAGAAAGAGAGTCCAGAGAAGAAGGAGTTGTATTTACCTACTCATTTTTGGGTGGTGGTGTTGTCATTGCTATGAGATAGGATCTCATAGCCCAGGCTAACCAGAAACTCTTGATATAGCCTAGGCTGGCCTGGAACTCTCCACCTCCTGTCTCACCTCATGTGTGCTAGAATTACAAGTGTGTGCCACCACCAAGCCCAGCTCAAAGCTGGTTATTTTTTTTTTCTTTCATGACCGATATTGAAAGATTCTTTCCCTCCTAGTCATTTCCTGATGTTAGCCCAAGGAAGGAAGATATTGACTGGTGTGTGTTGTGTTTAGGAAACAACAAATTCACAATGGATGGTTTGTCCATTTCCCACACTGACTCTGGCTTTCCAAGATCATAAAATAAACACCAGCTGAAAATCTCATCCTCTTTAGTATCTGCCTGTCCCATAGAGTACAAGGTCTGCCTAGACAGAGCTTTGAGTCATACTCATTGCCTTCTGCTCAGCATTTATAATAAAGTGAGGTCATAAAAGACACTCAGGAAAATATTTATTAAATGAATATATAAATGAGTACAGCAAGTGAACATAAAATGGGAGCCACACAGGTCCAAGGCAATGAACCACACCCCTGCAGCCCACTGGCATAATCTCTCTACCCTCAAGCCTTGGAGGGCCAACTCCATGACCTAAGCAAACACAGAAGGACTCTGCTACAATCTCTAGACTCTAGGATTCCCTTCAGTGCAGTTTTAGCGATGCAGAATGTGACAAGACTGCATCCTATCTTGAGGAACCAGCCCTGGGGACAGTTTCTGATTTTATAGTGATGAAATCCACTCACTCGGCTGCTTACAACCCTCAGAGAATGGAAGCCACAGAAATGGGCTGGACAGGCTTATAAACCAAGTATGCCATCGTGAGCTGCTATGACCGTGACCTTTAGCACAGAGCCTTGACGAAAATATTAAGCACCATACTTCAACATGGAAAACTCCCAAAGCTGCTGCTGTTTGCCAGTGAAAGCCTAAGACACAATCAGGGGATCCCATGAGACAATACCTGGGTGGCTGGGAGTGATACCAGGACTTCAAGTCAACCTGGGCCACTCCAGCTAGGTTTTCTAGATTCTCTCAGAAAACACATGTACTTTCCCTGCGGTGTGCTACACTCTGGTGAAGGCACTGACCTCAGCCTTTAGCCCCCAGAAGGGTGTTTCCCTGGACACACAGTCGTGTCTGAGCAAAGATGAGGATCTGTTGTGGAGCAATGTCCCCTGAGCATAGCTGCCATTGCCCTGCTAACTGGAACAGCTGTGAATACCTGCAGGCCACCCTATCAAGACCTGGCTCTGCTGCTTTCTTATAGAAGGGGATGGTGTCAGACCCTCACCAGAGACTCCAGCCACTCCCTCCTGCACCACCACCCCTTCCCAGCAAGTCTGCTCCAGCTGCTTGTGATCTCAGGGGTGCTCGAAGTGTAAAGAGGTTGGAAAGTAGTCATCCATGCCAGAGTGGCACTCTTCAGTCACGCAACTGTTTGGGGGTGGGGGCTGTAACTAGCCCCTCTCCCAGGCTTCTGTAAGGAACTCTGATTAACTTACTGGGTGGAACTGTTGCTTTGCCCATCTGCCGTGGTAGACGTATCTACCCAAGAGAAGCTAATACCTATAATACATATAACAAGATCTCACTAGGCTCCCCACACTTTGGAATAAAATGACCTTATAAAAGAGTGCACCACTAAAGGAACTGTAGGCCCCAACTATGACGCCCCAGGCATCTTTAAAGGTATTTCATAGACGGCGGCTATAATCATTACAGAAAATAAGCTAAGAGGTAGGAAAGAGTGTGAATACAAACAGCTCCTTAACTGCCTTTTCTTTTTCTACATGGGTATTGCATCCAGGACCTCACACATGTAAGGCAATCACTCTATCACTGACCTACACACACAGCTAAATAAAACTTTATTCATTGAGACAGACTTTTTAAAAGATACATTTTTAGACTGTTCTCGGGATAGAAGCCAGCACCTTACACATTCTAGGCAAGCATTCTACCACTGATCTACAACCTTAATTCTCTGATGACCTTAAGAAGGGTACAGGATCACCCACAAATACAGCTGCTGCCCTCTGGGCACTCACTGGGGCCTGGGGTTTGAAGAAGCCTAGGGGAAGGTATGCCCACCCTGTACCATCTGTGCAACCACCAGCCACCCTCCTCCTCCAGCCACACTTGCTTCCCACTGTGAGCACAGGCAGCCTTCTCCCTAGGCCAGCCACAGCCACCTTCAGGCCCATCACCTCTTAACGCCCCAGCCTAAAGTGGCTGGTTCCTTTTCACAAATTCTCATCTCCCTCCTCTTACAACAGCAGTAACTAACAACTGTAGAGTGCCCTGCACCCAAGATGGTTCCGAATCCTTCAGATGGAAGGACTTTTGCAACAGCTTTCTGTCACTGAAACAAAATACCTGAGCGAATCACTTTAATAAAAGAAAAGGTTTGTTTTGGGCTCATGGTTTTACTAATTTATTATTTCATCGTTATTTCTACTGCTTTGGACCTGTAGTGGAGGCTCAGGACATCATGGTGAGAGTATGCAGTGAAATCTTCTCACCTCAGGGTGACAGGGAGAGAGGGGAGAGGGGAGGTGGGGGCACACCAAAGTCCCAATATCTCCTTCAAGAGCATGCCCACAGTGACCCAAAGACCTCCCAGTGGACTTGACTTCTTAAAGGGTCTACCGCGTTTTAGTGCCACAGGCTGCACACGGTACTGTCAACAGACGGGTCTCTCAGGGTGGTGGTGGGATGGGGTGGCAGGGCAGCCAAGACCTGAACACCAATCTACG